AATTATTTAGTATTATTAAGTATTACATTCAAATGTTCTGCAGCCCATTACAGATAATAGTATGAAAGATTAGACATTTTTTAATTATAATACAGATATTGTTTAGCTTCAGTTTAGTGTAGGAGATATTGACAAACTGGCTCAGAAAAAAACGAAAAAACATTATATCTTTTAAAACAAGCTGCATATCTGTCACTGACAGCATGGTGTTTGTTTTTATTAAAAACCACCATTCCCTTGTGATACATTTAAATAAACAAACACAATGATAACATGGTTATGTAAATCTACGTCTCAATTTCAAGGGGGACATGTTGGTTTAACGACCTTGTCAGAACCTGATGTGAAGAATAAGTGACCCTCGACCACTTATGCACGGTTATGTTTGTAAATCCAACCATGCGTATGCAAATCTTGACATGTAAATGCACCATTGAGCTACTTAATGTAGTGATTACAAAAATGGGGTCCACTACAGAAAAAACATGTCATGAGATCTGAGAACTACTCCATTACTAGTCACATCAAACAACTTCAAGAGGGAGTCATTTTAAGAGTTCTTTTAATTTAAACTAAATTATCACATAGGCTCTGCTTGTCTGTCTGGATCGCTCGTCCTCCATGTCTAAGGGTTTCAGTCTGTCTGAGTGAGTGAGTGTGTCTGGGTGCGGTCTTCTTGTTTGACTTGTCCCTAGGGAAGATGCTGGAAGGAAATGTCTTCAATGCGATGTGGCGACATGGTCCCAGGGGTCATGTGACAGCTCTAAAATGGCCTTTTGATTCCGATTCACAACCCATAATAACCACGCTACCAGATCTAAGGCCCTTTTATGTCGCCTCGGCAACCCTACCCAGGGAATTTGCGCTGTCGTCTTGTCCTCTCGCTGCATTTCACCAGGGAAAACTATGCCGCCGAGAGAAAAAGCAAGAAATGGGAGAGTGAGGTGCTTTGTGTGCATATTCTTCATAACATCATAACTCACTCTACTTTCCAAGTCACAGAAAAACAGTCAGGAAATACCTCGCCTCCTCCAGGCAAAGTTATTGCGGACAACAAAGGTAAGAATGTATATCTCAAGGGCCTGGGATAGACAAATCATAGCACTTCCTTTTTTTTTTGCTCATTTAGGGGCCAAAGAGAGCGAGCGAGCGAGCCACCTCAGATACAAAACGGCAGAGGGGAACTAGAAAAAAAAGCATATGGACATGTGGTATAATATTTGTCTTGGGCCACAACAGCAAAATCGATTTAAGATTCTCTTTTCATTTCAAATATCAACCCTATACAAATATATAGCATATAAGACAAATACGACTAATTTATGGCCGTCATGCAGCATGAATAAAGGCTTACCTGGCTGAGGACTATGAAGAGTCTGTAGCCTGGAGCAACAATACAGCTTCATTCATTGATCATACCTCCTGAAGATTACAGAACTTATGCTTGTAGCAAAAGACATGTGTGCCTTTTCATTTAAAAGAACAATTTTTCTTCTTGATGCATAATGGAGCTGAACCCCATTCTGTGCTTCTGAGAATATGTGGAGGAAATGTCTACAATACTCTTTATGTTCCCAAAGCCGTTTTCATCCAGATGCTGCCATCATTCCCAGTGTGGGCTGAATAAACAGTGGGATGACCTATGACTCCAGGCTTTATGATCTCATAAGCTCAAATCCAGTTTGTGGTTGAGCTGGCCATACACTTGTGTGCATTTATTTCCAGCATTACACTTCTGCGGACTGAGGTTTTATCTCAATGATGAATGTTTAGTGTTACAAAGACAGAAAGTCAACAGAATATTTTCTCTGTATGTAGATCTTTGTAGCGTCTGGACCAATCAGACACACCATTTTTCATTTGATTTAACAAATCAATTATTCATTAGATTAACAAACGTTCACAGACCCCTCACCCAATAAACATACTGGGTGCCAAGTTGTCTGTGAACAGGGCCCAGGACCCTGGTTACCATGGCAACCCTGACACCAGATACATTTACGACCTAATGGAATGCGAAGCAGGGAAAATCACTGCATGTTCCATAGCAAGAGGCACAATCCACAGTAGAAATGGACTTTTCTACTAATTCATTCATAGGAAAACCTTTCTTTGAATGAACACACATACCCTTCAGGTCATCGTGTATGTTGTCTTTGAGATTTTATACTGTTTTATGCAGGCTTATGATCGAAACACTCATTCCTGTCATCTTACATATATGTAACCCTACCATGTTTAGTATCTATGAATTAGTCTTCTGATGATCTAAACGAGAGTGTATATTATATGTTGGTACATAGGATGATTAATTATTCATATTTCCCCATGAGCTGATTCGCTACATCTTGTTTGAGTATGTGTAGGTGTATGACTGTAAAACTAAGTAAAAATGGTAGCAGAAAGAATATCATGTTTTCTAATTTACAAAAAAAGTAATACAAGAGGGCAGTCTAATTATTTATGGTAAAATACAAAACCCAGTGGCAGAGTACATTATGATGAGAAAAGGGTCAAAAAGGTAGCTTAACTACCTTACTTTTCCCCCTAGTGAGTTACAGCATAAAGGATAAGCCTATGAGAAGTTTTTGATATATTAATCAAATATTTTGGCTCTCGTCCATGCCATGGGACTTTACAGTACTACATACTACATCATTCTGACAGTAGTTTGCCTTCCCATTTCTGGAGGTTAGTTGGATAAGTACACATATCTTGAAATCGGTTTGTAAGTCATTGGCATTCTGTATAAACATAACATGTTTTAGACATCAATATTCAATAAAATATATTTTATATTTATATAATAATACATTTATATAATACATATAACATATTTATATTATTTATAAGATATATATGAATGATAATAAAACTAATACTAACTACTTACGCTAATTCCCCTCTAAGAAAGTAAATAAACACAAAAATTGCCAAAATTATTTTGAATTCTAAAGCTAAAAAAAGTGATTCTGTATAATCGACTTAACAGTGAAAACTTTACTGCAATAAAATCAGAAAGAAGTATTTATGAAAGCACAAACACTGAGAGACAAGGGCAAGTTTGCTGCCAGCCAAGAAATGTGTTTTATATGAAAGGAGGTCTGTTCTGCTCTGCGCGCTGACTGGATTGCACAACAGGCCAAGGTGGATTGGTCGTGTGTTTGCTAAGCCCCCAGAGAAGCTCCCAACCTCCTTTAAATTCGGACTACCAGACCCCTTTGAGCAAGAGATGATATATCGCTTCTATTAAAACTCTGAGAGCCACAGCAATGTCAGATTCAAGCACTGATGAGAGTTTACCAGACCTTACCGCGTTTATCCAGACGGATCCGTATATAAGACACTATGAGGGAGAGCTGCGCAGAAGGTAAACACACCTTGTTTAAACTTTTAACAAATGCGACATGCCTGCTTACTTGGTTTTATTCTTCATTTTATTCATTTACTCTGGGGTTTTTTTTACTAAAATTATGCGTTTAGATAACTGTAATTCATACCTGTAGTCTTCTTCACTATGTGCGTCACTCAGGTGGAGTTCACGGGAACTCCAAAAGTTTCTGATCGCTAATCCAATCAGAAATATGTGTGTCTCTCACGTGCTGCATGTTCGGCCTGACATATTACGCACTCTATTAAAGAAATCTATGCTGTTTGTGTTTATCTATTAATGCTGCCACGCGTAAATGCTCCAAACGTCAATTCATGAAAGTATTCTAATAATTTTAGTGGATTGTTCACCAAATTGTACAGTTTAATGGCATACCCTGTTAATAAAAACAAAAGAAACCATCACAGAATTTGTAATGGCTTTACTGGTTATAATGGGAATTGTATTGGTTTTAATGGAAACTGTATGGTCCCTGTAAGTCTCTGTTTGTCACCTTCTATTAGTGGCTTGTTAAAACCACTAAATCCTAAACACACTACAGGAAACCATTTTTTAATAGTTAATAGGTGATGGTTTGTAATGTTTGTTTGTAATTTGTATTGGAGTTTCCGCAGGGTGTGACTGTTCAGCTGATGGAACTTTCCAAAATACATTTCGTTATTATTTCCTCCTCGGAGGAAACGCCCCTGCTTGATGAATAGAAAGATCCAAAGATCAGCATTTATCTGAAATAAAAAGCTTTTGTAACATTATACACTATACCAAAAGCTTTGAGTCAGTATAATTATTATTATTTTTTTTTATTATAGAAATTATTACTTTTATTTAGCAAGGATGCTTTAAATTGATCAAAAGTGATGATAAAGACATTTATAATGTTACAAAAGACTTCTATTTCAGATAAATGCTGTTCTTCTGAACGTTCTATTCATAAAAAAAAATGAAAAAAATCTTCTCTGTTTTCAAGATAATAATAATAATAATAATAAATGTTTTTGAGCAGCAAATCAGCATATTAGAATGATTTCTGAAGGATGTGATTGGAGTGATGCTGAAAATTCAGCTTTGAAATCACAGGAATAAATGACATTTTAAAATATATTCAAATAGAAATCAGTTATTTTAAATAATACAAATATTTCACAATATCACTGTTTTTTCTGTATTTTTGATCAAATAAATGCAGGCTTGGTGAGCAGAAGAGACTTCTTTAAAAAACATTAAAAATCTTACTGATCAAAACATTTTAACTGGTAGTGTATTAAAACACATTCTCTAAAGTGCCTAAATGTCAACATTTGTAGGGGTACAAAAAAATATATATACGTTGTATTGAACATTAATGGAGTAACAGATTTTGTGTGAAAATAAATCATTCAAGTTGTTTATTTTGTTTAAAAATCTTATAAATGTATGAGGTGGCAAGAGGGGCCTTTTTCCTCACACATGGGGTAAAAGGCCCACCAGCATGGGGTAAAAGGCAAACGTTATTGATACAAATACTTCAGCTAAAATAATGTTTTTTTAAATAATGTCTAAGTTAATACTTGTTCAAAACAATCACTTTAGCAAAGTTTGTACTATTTTCTGCTTATTTTGAAAAATAAAAGAATATTTTTTTTTCAATAAATATACTGTCATTAAAATATTTTAATATAAAAAATATATTTTAAAATACAGAAACAAAATCGTTTAAATAAGTAAAGATTCTGAAAGAGAGAGATCCAATAATAATTGAATATATATTTAGAGTAGTAACAACAAATTATATTTTATTATATGATATGATTAATATCATGTTTTTAAATATGATGGTTTCATTCTAAACACGGTGATTATCTCTAATATGGACACCCAACATAATATATGATATTTACCATCTGAATCTAACCATGTCATGTCAACAAATGGAAAAGTCAGCCATCTTAAAGAAGACAAAATATATGCATTAATTTTAGCGATTCTCATTTGCTACTTAAATCTACAACATTTTAAACATTTTAAAA